CCAATTCAATCGAATTTGTGGAAATGAGTGTTTTTTTTTTTTTTAATCTTGTTTCTCGCTTGATTGATCAGAATTCATCCATGGAAATGAGTGCCTTTTATTCTATATTTTGGTTCGTTCTCTCGCTGATATATTGTTGTGATTCTGCAGGATGGGCGCAGGATTAGCGTTGGTGACTGTGCTCTGTTTAAACCACCTCAGGATTGTCCACCTTTCATTGGTTTGATTCGTTTGGTCATTCCTGAAAAAGAAGGCAAGTTTAAGCTGCGTGTGAATTGGTTGTATCGACCCGCAGAGTTAAAACTTGGCAAAGGCATCCTTTTGGAAGCTCAGCCGAACGAAATCTTTTATTCCTTTCACGAGGATGAGATACCGGCTGCATCCTTACTGCATCCGTGTAAAGTTACCTTTCTTCGAAGAGGCGTTGAATTGCCATCTGGAATCTCATCATTTGTGTGTTGGCGAGTTTATGATGTTATGAATGAATGCATATGGTGGCTGACTGATCAAAACTATATCGATGTGAGATTATATCCCTATTCTGTTTAAATCTGTTTTCTCTTTTTGGTACCTAAAACCTTTTTCCCTTCTGTAGGAACGACAGCAAGAAGTAGATAAGTTGTTGTGTAAGACTCGTTCCAAAATGCATACGACATTACAGCCGGGTGGTCGTTCTCCTAGGTCAATGAATAGTCCGACAACATCGCAAGTGAAAGCCGGAACAGACAGCATGCAGAACAGTAACTCCTTTTCTTCACAGGGTAAGGGAAGGAAGAGAGAGCGTGCTGATCAGGGTTCTGAATCTGTGAAAAGGGAACGTTCAAGTCGGACTGATGATAGTGGTTCTGGTTTTCTAAGAACAGAAAGCAATTTGAAATCTGAGATTGCAAAAATTACGGATAAAGGCGGACTAGTGGACTCTGAAGGGGTTGAGAGATTGGTGCAGCTCATGCTACCTGAGAGAAACGAGAAGAAAATAGAATTGATGGGCCGATCAGTTCTCGCGGGTGTTGTAGCTGCAACAGACAAGTTTGATTGCCTCAGTCGTTTTGTCCAGCTCAGGGGATTACCTGTTTTTGATGAATGGCTACAGGAAATTCATAAAGGGAAAACTGGGGATGCGAGCAGCCCCAAAGACAATGATAAATCAGTGGACGAATTTCTATTGATCTTACTTCGTGCTCTTGACAAGCTACCTGTGAATCTCAATGCTCTTCAGACTTGTAACATTGGAAAGTCTGTTAATCATTTGCGATCACATAAGAACTCGGAAATTGGGAAAAAGGCAAGGAGCTTGGTTGATACATGGAAGAAACGTGTTGAGGCAGAAATGGATGCGAAGTCTGGATCCAATCAGGGTGCATCTTGGCCTGGAAGACTTCGTCAGTCTGAAGTTTCTCATGGCGGCAGACATTCAGGTGGGTCAGTTGATGCAACCAAGACATCAGCATCGCATCTACATGCTTCTAAGTCTGTGTCTGTCAAAATACCTTCAGAGAACAGCATGAAGTCTGCAACCACATCTCCAAGCTCTACTAGATCAGCCCCAACACTTGGAGCAGGTGTTGCTGTTGTAAATGATGGGCAACAAAGAAATACTGGTATGATCCATAGAGAAATTGGGCTGAGCAGGAGCTTCCCATCACAAAGATCTGCAACTTCTGAGAAAGTATCTCAATCAACTCTGACAGTGGAAAAGACTCTTGACGTTCCTATGGCTGAAGGTTGCAGTAATAAGTTGATTGTTAAGCTGCCAAACCGTGGTCGCAGTCCGGCACAGAGTGTTAGTGGAGGTTCCTTTGAGGACCCTGCAGCGAGTAATAGCAGAGCTCCGTCACCTGTTCCCACAGAGAAGCATGATCAATTTGACGGAAACGCGAAAGAAATGAATGATACGTATCAAACTAATTCTAGCCCTGATCCTAAAGCCGAGTCTTCTCAAAACAATGACCGAAAAAATCTATCGACAGTTTCAAATGAGGTAGCTGGCTCCCCTTCTGTTATTGCTGGTGATGAGCACGTCAAGGCTGTTAATGATTCTAGTAAACTAGCAGGGATTGTCAAACCCACTTCTCCTACTTTAGGAGATGACGTCAAAACTGGAAAAAGGCATGGTGGATCACACAGCTCGATGAATGCCTTGATTGAAAGTTGTGTCAGAGACACTGAGGCTAATGCATGTGTGGCTGGTGAGGATGATGTTGGAATGAATCTTCTAGCTACTGTAGCTGCTGATGAAATGTCCAAAACCCCTGTTGCATCACCCTCTGTATCTCGGGTGTCAGATTCCTTGATGAATTATAACTCCATTGCAGAGAACCATACAACAGGAATCACAAATTCTTTGGATGGCTTGCCAAGCGAGCAAGCTGTAGCTGTTGCGAAGGATCCCACCATTGTTGACAGTGAGCAACATGTCAGTAGTAGTGGTGAGCAGTTGGCGGCGTTAGAAAATGTGAATGAGTCTAAGCCGGGAGATCTTGATGAGAATTCTGATTCAGAAATTGAAGAATTGCAAAGGTTGGTGGATCAGTGCCTAGAGAGCAATGAAAGTTCAGATGATGTTGCTGGTCCAATTGCTGTGCCCACAACAGGCACTGGGGAAAACATGTCTGATGATGGTGATAGTGGGGTAGTTAGTGACCTAAAGACTGATGTTACATCAGAGACAGATCTAGTGGCAGATACAACAAAAAGGACAAGAAACTCTGTCTTTAGTGAATGTAAAGCCATCAGCATAAGTCAAAATGCAGATTCGGTGGCTGCTGAACATTCACACTCTGACATTGTTGGTGATATTAAGATAGAAGAGAAACCGAAGGTGATATTGAGTTCTGAGCTAGTTAATAAAACGGGTGAAGGTGTATCAGTTTTGTCAGAGTTTGCCAAGGATATGAGTACTCCAAATGTTGATAGATCAATGACTGAAAAATTGTCTGATTGTGGGATAATTAACGACCAAAAGGCTGATGTTACATCAGTGGCAGATCACATTTCAGATACAGCTGAAAGGGTGGAAACCTCTGTGCCAGCTGAATGTAAAGATATCGACTTAATTCCTAAAGTAGATTCTCTGGCTGTTGCCAATTCACACTGTGATGTCGTAGGTGAGAATAAGAAAGAGCAGAAACCCCAGGTAGTCTTGAGTTCTGAGGTAGTTAAAAAAATAGGTGAAGATATACCAGTTTCTTCTGGGTTCTCTAAGGGCATGACTATGTATGTTGATAGATTGGTAACAGAAAAGATCAACGACGTGGGGTTTAACCATATAAACCAATCAGATAGAAAGAAGAACAAGCGCGTGACAGCTCGTCTGGACGCATCTACAACTAACGGTGAAGTTGAGCATGTAGAGGCGTTTCTAAAGAGTCTTGAAGTCGATAAACGGTGCGCCACTGCGTTAGGTCCTCAAGTAGCATCACCTAAAGTTGCAGAAGATTGTAGGAGACCAAATGGGTCTAGAGTGAGTGGTGCTGATGGAGATGAAGCAGAGGAATGTACATCTGTTGCCAGAGATGTTCCTTCAGTTTCAGCTTCAGCAGGGTCAGAGATGGATGCCAGAGTTGAATTTGACCTAAATGAAGGTTTTAATGGGGATGATACACGAAATGGGAATTTAAATAACTTCTCTGGATCTTTGGCTTTGGCACCTACTCCTTTACTACCCTGTCGACTTCCTGCATCCATTACCGTTGCTGCTGCTGCAAAAGGTGCGTTTGTTCCACGTGACGATCTGTTGAGAAATAAAGCGACCGTTGGCTGGAGAGGATCCGCTGCCACTAGCGCCTTCAGGCCAGCAGAGCCAAGGAAAGCCCAGGAGGTGGTGCCACTAGGCATGAATAATGTGTCGTCCTCTGATGCTTCTACAACTGCTGGCAAGCAAACGAAGACATTCTTGGACTTTGACCTAAATGTACCTGATGAGAGAGTTCTTGAAGATCTGGCTTCCCAAAGATCTGCCAATCCCACAAATTCCTCTGGTTGCCTGGATCTTGATCTAAACAAAGTTGATGATCCAACTGATATGAATAATTACACAATAAGCAGCAGTCATCGGGCAGACTCATCTTTTCAGCAGGCGAACTTATCTTCTGGTGGTCGTAGAGATTTTGATTTAAATGATGGACCCGCTGTTGATGATGTGAATGTTGAGTCATCTATGGTTTTTAGTCAACATTCTCGAAGTGGCTTGGCATCACAGCCAATGATCTCTGGAATAAGGATGAATGGTGAGAACATTGCTGCTGGCTTCTCATCTTGGTTTCCTGCTGCGAACAATTATGCAGCAATGAGTATTCCTCAAGTCTTGCCTGAACGAGGCAATCAGCCTTTTCCAGTTATTACCAGCAATGGACTGCAGAGAATGATAGGTCCAACATCCGGGGTTTCCTCATTTACACCTGATATGTACGGAGGCCCAGTTTTGCTGTCTTCACCGGCAGTTTCATACCCGCCCACAGCGTTTCAGTATCCTGGGTTTCCTTTTGGAACCAGCTTTCCTCTTTCCTCAGCAAACTTTTCAGGTGCTTCGACACCATACATGGACTCTTCAACAAGTGGCAGGCTTTGTTTTCCTCCTGTCAACTCTCAAATATTAGGTCCAGGAGTTGCCATCCCATCTAATTATCCAAGGCCTTATGTCGTTAACCTCCCAAATGGAAGTAGCAATGGTGTAGTTCCGGACAACAACAGTGCAAAATGGTTTAGATCAGGTCTTGACTTGAATTCCGGACCAGGAGGGCATGAGACTGATGGGAGAGAGGAAGCGACACTTGTACAAAGACAAGTATCTTCCTCTGGTTCTTTACCTTCGAAAGATGATCAAGCAAGAATGTATCAAATGTCAGGAGGTGCTCTCAAGAGGAAAGAACCAGACGGTGGATGGGATGGATACAAGCAATCCTCATGGCAATAACAAACCTCAGAATCTCTTTGTAGGCCGTCGCATTTAGCTTGTAAGCGTCTTGAATTTCACTTTTTTTTTAGTCTCTTTCTTTATAG